GGCCGGCCGCCGCGCCCGCCGCGCCCCCGCCCGGCCCCCAACCCCGCGGCGGCGCGGGGGGCGCGGGACCGCCGGGGGGGCGCGGCGTGTACATCCGCGAGTTCCGCGCTGCCGAGCAGGAGGCGGCGCGCCGCATCTTCTACGACGGCATCATGGAGCGCATCCCCAACACGGCCTTCCGCGGCCTGCGGCAGCACCCGCGCACGCAGCTGCTCTACGCCCTGCTGGCCGGTCAGTGCGCGGGGGACCCCGCCGCGCTCCGCCTGCCGCAGTCCGCGCCCGCCCGGCCCCTCCGGGGACAGACGCGCAGGACGCCCTCAGCCCCGCTCGCCCCTACCTCGGGCCCCGGGCCCCGGCCGCGCTCTGTCCCTGCCCAGGACTCAGCCTGGGAGGGAAGCGGACCCCTCGCGCCACCTCGCGCCCCCTCGCGCCCCCTCGGGCCCCCTCGCTCGCGCACGGACGCGCACCCGCACGCCACCGGCTTTCTGCGGCGGCCTGGGGCGAGGTGGCCACCGGCGGTGGCGTCCGGGCTCCTGGCCAAGGCGCGCCTGGCGGGGGCGTGGGAACGAGCGCCGGCGGCGGGTAGGGGGCTGCGGGCAGGGGAGAGGGCCGGGGTCTCCACCTGCATCCCCCTTCTGTGCGGCCCCGCCTCTCCGGTCCCTTCCCTGGTCGTCCCGGGTGGGGGCGGGGTGACGGCAGGTAGCGCCCGCTGCTGAGGCTCTGCGCCGGGCGCGTGTAACTATATATAATCCGCGGGGCGGGGGAGGCTGCCTCAGCGGCTCCAAGTGCTAATTTATGAGGGGAAGACAGCCAGCTCCCCGGAGTGCGGGGTAGGGGGGGAGGAGGGCGAGCACCGAGGAAGCAGAGTGAGGGGATGAAGGGGGTCATCAAAAACCCCTAGGGGCTTTGAGGCCTTTCCCCTGAAGCTTCGGAGGGTGGTTGTCCCCATTTCACAGATGAGGAGCTTGAGGCTGGGGGTTGTTAATCTCCCAAGGTCATGCAGCAGAAGTGACTTTCACTGCAGGCTTGTCTGCCTTCCGGCAGCTTGGACGAATCTGGAAGCAATCTCGGGCTTCCCTCACCCCCCTCCTCATAACCCCCGGGGCTGGCCCTGGGAAGAAGGTGGTCCTGGGGCCCTCTGCTGGAAGATGCCCCCTTCCACTCCCCACTTTTGCAAGGGTGAGGCAGCCTGCAGGGGCCTGGTCGAGCAGCTGCGTAGCTTCCTACCTTGCTAGAGTGGCAAAGGTGTATTCGAAGCCCCTTCCACAGCTGCGGGGCCACATGGGTGGTTGGCAT